TCACGAGAATTGCCCAAATGGTGAACAAACAATGTTCTTTTGAAAGAGGAACGATCATACTATTAGGCGATGTGAAATTTATTGCTCTGTAACGATTCTGATGAGAAATATTGGACTCGATGTCGCAGAATATATCAGATAAGTGACTAACTTTGTGGTTATTCATATCCTATGGCCATGTTGTTCAGTGCCAGTACTGACGACCGTTCAAGTGCAACGAAAACGTAAAGCAATCGTATCAACTAAACTCAGAAACACAATAAATGCATCCTATTAACAAGTTAGATATATTTTTTACTTATACTGCTATTATTTTTTTAATTATTTCGTTATTAAATATTATAACGGTTAAATATTCAAAATATATAGGACATTCAGAGATTGGGCCGCTGTGGTGTATTAATTAAGAGTCTCTGACGTAGGAAATTGGGAAACCACATCCTGTGTAAACGACAAAAAAATACAAATAAGTAATTACTGTGCTTTTTTATTTAGATTGACACGGCAAAAGGTAAGGGATGATGGGTCTGACGAACATTTTAAAGTTTTGTTAGCTTTGCGGGTGTAAGTCATTGAACTATAAATAAACTGGAAGGCTAACTCAGGGGGGGGGGGGGTGAAGGCAGTGCATTTTAGATTTTCTGAGTTATGAGCAGAAATACTCAACACTGAACGTTGGGCTATATATCAAATTGAAGCTATTGAAAAACGCTATTTGGTGTAGAAATTTCAAGACTTTAGCTAAAAGGAAAATATTGAAAAACTACAAACATAATTACCGATAATTTGCCGTTTTGCAGTTGTTTTTGTATTTTTTAAGTATTTCTCTTTACGGTGAAGTCTTGAAATTTCCACACCGAATAGCAATTTTCAATAGCTTCAATTTGATATACAGCCCAACGTTTGGGGTCAAGTATTTCTGCTCATAACTCAGAAAAACTATTTTGGCTTCATCAAATCATAGGCCTTCATCATAGCAGTTAGCCTTCCAGTTTATTTATAGTTCAATGGTGTAAGTATGCAATCATACATTGCTATTATGCAATTTAGATGAAGAACCCGTTAATGACACAACGAAACTATCTCATCGGGAACTTACTCGGCTGTCTCTAAAGATTGTCGGGAAATATGAAGTAATTGCGGGATTGGCTAACCTGGGTAAAGGTGAAGTAGAAAACGTGTATCGGGATCACATTAACTACCCAGAGCCAAAGGACAAGGCCAACCAAATTTTAACTATGATCAGCGCCCAAACCAATTTCAGCCGTAAAGAACTTGGTGATTATTTAAAAGAAGCAGAATTACGTGACCTGGTGGATGATGTAGTGCAGGGAACACTAAGGCGTTGCCCTGACGACACTGGTTCGCCAAATGAAACTATACCGAAAGTTAGACGGTAGATGCCTTCATAATGCTGCCATTACTAGAAATTAGCGATAAAATGACCACCGCTTGTATACTAATTTGGGTATGATGCATACACAATGGCCTTCGTTTTTTTTTTACGAGTAATGTTACCGAGTGAAAATATTTCTCACGAAACTATGGCAATCCGAGAGCTCGGCTACTGTTAGTCGACCTCGTGATAAATAAAGAAGTCATTTACTAAAGATTTATAGCATATTTATTCAGATCGCGTATCTCTGCAAGCCAAATCGTGTTTAAAAACATCAACTTTTATGTGAACTTTGTATGATTGGTTAAACTGCTGGGAGATATGGGGATTATGTTTTGAGATTTTTGTATCTATGCGAAGCATAGATACATTGCTATCGAATTGTTTGTGGGTTAAACACTCAGGTCGCGTCCGCCTTAAATACATGCCTGCAAACAGGCAGCCTAAAATAGAAACAAAATGGCGGCTTCTATTATACATGTTTATGCATATGTTTTTAACTTTTTGTGTGTTCACTTAATAGTACATGGCTATTCCAAACAACAGTACAAAATGTACTGTGACAAGGTGAGAGTTTTTTTTGTCTAAACGTTTGTATATGATTTGAAAAAAGTTTGATATGTTGTGATGGATCCCACAGTGTCAGTGATCGATCATTCGATCGTATATTGATCAGTCTTTTATAACACAGTGGCTGCGCTTTAATATTCAACAATGAAAATGTGTAATGTATCAAGGTTTTTGACCAGGATTGTCGTATTAAATATTATGCTGGAAAGTAACAACATTTAAACTCAAACTTGAAAAATAGTATTTGATATTATATTTGTTTACTTTGTTGTCTTGAATTGAAAATAAGAAATATTAGTCTTAAGAAATAGTACATTACATAGCTGAAAGTGAAATGCACTAGTTGAGAATGCCAAAGTGGAGGGTTCGAGAAGCTCTACAGGGTGTATCAATAAAAACGGAGTCCTCACAGGAGTCCTTGCATTCGTTCGAAATCGCGATCTTTCGGTTATTTTATGTACTTTTTTTATAAAATTTGGAGTTATTGCTGGCGAGCTGTGTCAATTTAAGTAAGTGCAATTGGAAAATTAAAAAACGTAGATGTGTTGAATTCACAATTTATTTAAACGTTCCAAAAAATAAGTTGGAAGTACACATTTACTCAACGTGGCCTCCATTTCTAAGTTCACATGCACAAGTTCGTTCTTTGTCTCATATCCAAGACAAGTCTTCTTCCCGAGTTTCCTTTATGTCGATTTAAACTTTATGGGGTGGTTCTTCCATTCAATGCATGCAGCCGGTATTTGTTGACATTACGCCAAACGCTCGATGAAGATTACGTCCTGGAAAAGCTATTTGAAATTGTCTTAACACTGCAACAACGCTTTTTGTTTCGAAATACTTTTCAACAATGAATGTTCTTTCCGGAATTGTTAGCTTTGGCATTATGAATGGTGATTGTAAAGTTTTAAACAACAACGTTCTAAATTTTAGCAAACTACCTTTAACTAAGTCCCCAAGGGACTTCGAAGATTAATATTTCGAAGCATCTAAAAACGAGCGCTTGTACTAAATTCTTTTTATTGCGATTAGCCTTCGTTCAAAATTTTCAAGAAACCCTTCATTCGAAAGATGAAAAAACAAGCTTTAAATTGAGCCCAAAACGAAACTATGGTAGTTTATTTTACGATAGAAATAAGGATATTTAGGACGACTCCGTTTTTTCTGATACACCCTGTATATATATGTATATATATATATATATATATATATATATATATATATATATATATATATATATATATATATATATATATATATATATATATATATATATATATATATATATATACTTTATTTAACGACGCTAGCCCCGACAACTACAAAAGTTGATTTCCACGGGGGGGGGCGTCCATATAAAAATAGTTATTAACGAAGAATATAAAAAGGAAGGAAACTAAGTCTACTACTATATGTACATAATATGAAAAGCTATACTGTAATCCACGATGGTGTGTCCCAGATAAAGGTATAATTAATTGAACCTAGACTCGGTTATTAACATCACAAATTTTGTTTTAAACAACTTTTAAATATATAAATTAATTGAGCTTGCTTAGCTTCAAGCGGAAGGTTATTCCAAAGATAAGCACCGCTATATTTAAAGTTTCTTTTGAGAAATTCTCTGTTTGGCTTTGGGAGGGTCAGATCAGTCTGAAAATTTCTAAGATTATAATTGTTTAGTAGCTAAAATATTTCTACTTATGAATGAGTCTTTCGGAGTTTGTGCAACACAATTACTCAAGACTTTATATAAGAATTTTGCCTTGGTCAAGAGT